AAAGAATTAGAAGAGGGAATTCCCTTATAACTTACTGTTTTCAATTAAGAGGTTGAAATGCCCTTCATAAAATGCACATGAGAAGGTAAAAATATTAAACCGTTATCGGCCATGAACACTCTAATTTAAACCAGCTTTAGAAATCTGTGGGTAATAAACTAGTGATTAAGTATTTATTAAACATTTATCATTCACTTGCCATAAGGCATTGGACTTCTGCCAATTCTCCAAAAAGAGAGGCAAAATTATTTCAAAATGTTTAGATTATATCAAGTAGAACACTTTAAGTACTTTTTGTGTGTGTGTGTGTGAGGAGGATCGGCCCTGAGCTAACATCTGCCAATCCTCCTCTTTTTGCTGAGGAAGACTGGCCCTGGGCTAACATCCGTGACCATCTTCCTCCACTTTACATGGGACGCCGCCACAGCATGGCTTGCCAAGCGGTGCGTCGATGTGCGCCCGGGATCCGAACTGGCGAATCCCGGGCAGCCACAGAGGATGGCGCGCACTTAACCGCTTGCTCCACGGGGCCAGCCCCACAACACTTTAAGTATTAATGTGGCCTTTAACATCTTGTAACTTTTAGTCATCTTCAACCAAGCCAGTCACTATTATCTCTTTTAACAAAAAAATTGTGTGCCCAGCTTAGTGGGCAAACATTTACCAAGTGCCTACTATGTACAAGTCCCGCGTTCGGTCTGGTTTAGTGGGTGTTGGAAAAGAAGTGGAGGAGCAGGGTGGAGAGCTGTGCCAGGACAGTTTGGAGAGCCAGACTTGTGATGAGTAGTCCAGACTCACAGCAAGTATTTAAAACCTAGAAACTCAGGCCCTTGAAACAGAAGTATGTAAACAACGCAGTATATACACAATATTTTATTATCAGTAGAGCACTAGATATATACTAAACAAAAATCCCCGGTCCATAGGAAGGGAGATCAAAAGAAAGAAATTCTTCTATCTGCCCTGGCAATGTTTCTATTATGCCAAAGATAAAGCAAGAGAGTCTTTTGACAATTTTTTTTATTAGAGTCTCAGTTTAAATCTGTGGCACATAAACAAATAACTTAATGTCTTCTGCTTAAATGCCTCGTCAATTTAAAAAAAAAAAAAGTTAGACCAATAATATATTTTTGCCTGAAGACAGCTGGCTGGACTAGAGGCTATTTTAAAGTCCACTTCAGCTGCAAGAGTTTTATTTCTATGATAAAACCATTCAAATGCATAGAAAGTATAATATACTTATTGCCCTTTTCAAACAAATCCATTTTGCTCTTGAATACAGTAAAGGAACAATTTGCTGTGCTTTTTTGTTTTGGTAATTTAGGAAGGGTTTCCATGGTTTCTGTGGCCTCTTGGTCACTTTTTCTGTGCATCAGTTTGACTATAAGATTATCTAAAACCAACATTGTGAGCTCTCCAGATGTATGTCCCTGGGGCACACATTCCCATGTATAAAGTGGCTTTTGGGGGTAACATAATTTTAGAAAATACATTGGTGTGTGGCCCACCAAAGGGCTGTAATACTTGAACAGATACAAGGTATATCTGTAGTATTAAAATTTCTTGATTGGGGGGGATAAGAAGAAATATACACAAAAAGACTCTGAGTGGAAGCAATCATGAAAAAACGGTTGGTAAACACTGCCCTGGAGCAAGGAGTCCTTGGGGATTTAAGATGTTTTGGGTGAGATTCTGAGGCATCAAATACAATTTTTTGTTGTTGTTGTTTTAAAAGTCTGTATTTAAAGTGTATCCTCCCCCCTTTTTTTCTAATCCACCACAGGACACTTTTTGCAGTATTTTAAATTTAGACATTTTCAAATTCAACGCAGTATATAAAACTCAATTTATGCAAAGGCTTTTCTTGTGACAAAAGGAATATCTAGAAAATCGACTCTCTCTTTTGAGGTCAGACTGTTCTGTGTGGCAGCCTGGCAGCGAGGTCTTGCGGCAGGCAGTGGAAAGAGTCATTGGGCACCAGAAAGACGTGCATTTCAATCCCAGATTGGCTGTGGATTAGCCTTGCAATTAGGCAAGTCGCTTAAAGCCCCTGAACTCCAGTTTCCTCATCTGCACAATAAGGATACTAACTCCTCCTCCTGTAGGGTTGTTAGAGGATTTGAGATAACTGATGTCAGCTGGCTGGCAGTCCCTGTTTTTGAGTTAGGTGGTAAGGAGAAGTAAACAATAACTGGGTAGAAGAGAACAAGATGCCCAGTGGACCTATTTTGCCAAACTTCACAAACATCCTGTTTGAGTTCCTGTAGCTGCTGCTTAAAAAAAATTCTTGCACGCAGAATGTAGCCCCTGACCAGTTTAAATAAACTCGAAAGGATTATCGGTAGCTTTTAGAGTTAAGATTTGGGCTTTGTATCAACGAAGAGACATCAGGACCATCAGAGACACCGGCAAGGAGCAGCATTTCTCCTGCTCCGTAAAATCACCATGATTTATTCCTTTAATGAAGAAGTCAGGGGCTTGTGAAGGCACAACAGCTGTGGTTTTATGAAGGGAAAATAAGCTAGAATTCCTTGTGGTGGGGCTGTTGCCACAAGGGATCATTGGTGGAGGCTGGCATCATCCTGCAGTGACACAAACATGATTGGACATCAAATAGCATGAAATAACTCGCGATTGTTTTAGGTGAGAAAAGCTCAAGCAATACCAAACCAGACTAGCTCTGTTTAAGTAAGGGCTTCAGTGTCTTTGATCTGAGGTTGAGCTGAGTGTCTGGAGTGGGAACAGAAGAAGGAACCCAGTTATCTTGAAGCTGGCTCTGGTTGCTGGTTGCCCACTCAGCAGATGTGAGCAGTTTAGCTGTCACCATGAATCAAGGGCTTTTTCCCCCAATGTTATAAATAGGGATGGGTAAATATTTTGGATTCATCAGCCTCTAAGTATTCTTCAGATGTTTGGGGTTCAACCAAACAGAATACATCGTGCTGAGTACATTCTCCCTTGATTTTTTAAGGACCGTGTGTGATTTATGGGAAATGGAATCCATATGTTTCTGCTTCATTTACTCTTCAGTCATCAAAAGGTTGTGTTGTAAGAGCTATTTGATGTCCAAGATGCTTTTTGAGTTTGATTTTTTTAAAAAATATAAGCCACTTAAAAGTTTTGGTCCCTTTAGAAGACAGAGAATGCGAGAAAGCCGCCTAGGAAGGCCTGTTTTGCCAAGATGAAGTAAATTTGAACATCAGGAAGTTCAATTTAAGCTGAAACTATAAATCTATGAATTTCAAATGGGTCTAGAATTTGAGAGAAAACCAAAGCTCCTCTCCAGCCAGTTTGAGAGGTAGCTCCGATGGTTGCAGCAAAGCAGCTGGCGACTTGGCACCCCCACCAGGGCAGAGAGGGCTGTGGTCCCACCATTAGCGCCCCAGCTAACACATATGCCCACTGCTGGAGGAGCTGTCATGCTTGGTCCTCCGGAGAGCAGTTGTTCCAGTCCAGATAAAGAACTCTTCGCCCTATTTTAGCATGGAAGTATCTGCTCTCTCGGTGTTTTCCCGGGGTTGTCCTGTCCCAGGCCAGCATTTCCTGTCTGTTCTTCTGCCATCTGGCCCAAACAGCTGGCCACTGGACTGAATATTGTGTGTGCATTTGGGATGTTGTTTATTTGTTGGGCAATTTCTTGAGAAAAATATCTCATTTAGCTCACAAGAGTGCTGAGACAGCGTGCAGTTTGTGTAGAGTAGGAAATATGTTAACTAGAGACCCACAAGATAGTAAAAAGCCAAATGTAAAACTGAGCTTTCTTGCCTCCGTCTCAATATTTAGTCACTCATAGCGGCTCTTAAGTCATTTTAGGCATGCTTGCTCATCTATATATGGCATCTTAGGAAAGATTTCAGAAGAAAAGCATACAAATTAGGACTATCTTATATGATAGTATACTTAAGGTATCTTTAAATATCTGGAGAGGATATATCTATTCATCTTTAGAGCATTATAGAGTGTTAGGATGTGGAACTTCATTATCCAGTGGGGTCTTTAGACTGTGTGGTCTGAATTAACATTCCTGTGAATTACCTGTATATCCCAATTCAATTATCTAGGGGTGAGGGACAGGGTTTTAGAATCTTAGAGGTTAAGGGTTTTTTTTTCCCCCCAACTCCTAACTCTAAGGAACATCGAATAAAATATTTCCTAATCTCATCATCCAGCTATTACTACCGTTAACATTTTGATGTATGTTCTCTGAGTTAAGCACATGCATGTGTACAAAAACACATACATACACAGAGTTTAATAAGATCATACTGTTTATTCTGTTTTGTAGCACCTCTTTTTAGAAATACATTGTGGACTTTTTCCCATGTTAATAAACTATCTTACCTTCATGAGCTTTAATGCTTGCAAAGTATTTTGTTGTAGGATTGTACCATAATTAGCTTAATGTCAGAGTATTTTTAAATACTCAAAAACATAATTATTATGTCTAAAAAACATAATTATTTCAGATACATTTTAAAATGTTGACCTTAGTTTTAAAAATGTTTGCTATATCTTAGGATACACTAGAAAATAAACTAACCATAGCTCCTACATCTTGTATTTCCTTATATTTTAGACCAAAGCATCCACCTTTGAGAGCCATGGGGACTATCCATCTCCCTCTTTCAGAAGAGACTAAGCTCTCCTACATAGATGGTGCTTTTTAAAGACCCTAGAAAAGATTAATAAGATAGTCAGTACATTTTATTTCTTTTTCTTCCTTAGAAAAAGAGTTGTCTCCACCTCATTCCCACACAAAGAAGAGGCTTATGACTTAAATTCATCTGCCTCTCTTTGATGAATCTGCTGGTAAAGCTCCTGGAGTCAGCTTCAAAGGAAGCTGAAATCTGTACCTATTCTGTCAGTTTCTGAGTTTCTTCACCCCTTGTTTTGGATTTTTCCAATGGGTTACTAGAGAACTCAGTCCTGTCCCTTTTGTTGACAGGTTGCTAGGATACATCCAGGAGACAAAGGCTGGGGTTCCTGTTCCCGGCAGCCTCACATACCATATGAACTCCTGCAAGAGGGCATGTGAATCGTGGAGCTTCCGGCTATTTTGCTCCTGTTTCCACCAGCCCCCTCCCTGAGGGGCTCAACAGGCTCTGATAAAAGCCAAAGTAGGAAGGTAAAGAACAAATGTCACAAGGTGAGGCTCTCAGAAGGTATGCTCTTTCTCTGTTGTCTGACAGCTAATCGATTTCAAATCTTACTTTTCCACTAATAATGGCTGCTTATTTCAAATAATCTTGATCTCTTCTGCTTCCTTCTCACCAGTTTGTAGTAAATATTTCCTTGCTATAGAAAAGGAATTCAAAGAAAAATAGTCTTAAGTTCTTAAATTCAAGTTCCTAAAATCAATGAGTTTGATAAATATGTGCAACCATGTAACCCATCACCTTAATCAAGACATAGGACATTTCCATCACCCAGAAAGTTTATTCACATCTCTTCCAGTCTATCTTCCCTCCATAGGCAACCGCTGCTCTGATTTCTATCACTAGAAAATAATTTGGCTGTTCATGGACTTTATATGAATAGAATCATGCAGTATATATTCTTGTAACTGACTTTTTTGGGTTAGCAGAATGTCTTTGAGATTCTTCCATGTTGCTGTAGTATATTACTAGTTCAATTCTTTTTATAAGTGAGTATTATTGCATTATAGGATTATTCCACATTTGTTTATCTGTTCTCCTATTTACTGGTATTTGGTTTGTTTCCAGTTTGGGTCTCCTACAACTAAAGCTGCTATAAACATTCTTGCATAAAGACATATGTTTTCATTTATCTTGGGTTCAGACCTAGGATTGAAATTGGTGAATGATATGGTAGATGTATGTTTAACTTTATAGTGGGTATGAAATGATATGTCACTGTGGTTATAATTTGCATTTTCCTGATGTCTGATGAAGTCGAGCATTTTTACATGAGCTTGGAGATCTGTATCTCTCTTTTGTTAAGCATCTGTTCGTATTTTTTGCCCATTTTAGATTTTTTTTTCTTTTTTATATGATCTTTACTGATGTATAATTTACATACAATAAAATGCACCCATTTTAAGTACACAGTTTGATGAGTTTTGACAATTGCATCCATGTAATGACCAATGATATCAATATAAGAACATGTCCATTAACCTTTGTAGTTCATTCTCCACTCACCCATCTACCCACCAAGCCAATCACTGATCTACTTTCTATCACCTACAGATTAGCTTTGCCTGTTCTAGGGTTTCATATATAGAATGATTCAGTATATACTCTTTTGTATCTGATTTCTCTTATTCAGTATAATATTTTTCAGAGGGATCCTTGTCATTGTGTGTATCAGTAGTGTGTTCATTTTTATTATGGAGTAATATTCTATTGTATGAATATGCCATAATTTGTTTATTCATTTACTGTTGATATATATTGTCAGTTTCCAGTTTTTCACTATTAAGAGTAAAAGCTGCTATAAACATTTGTATACGCCTTTTTGTGGACATATATTTTCACTTCTCGTGGGTAATTACTTAGGGATAGAATGCCCATGTCATCAGGTAGGTGTACGTTTAACTTTGTGAGAAACTGTCAAACAGTTCTCCAGAATGGTTGTAATATTTCCCACTCCCACCAGGTATTTATGGGAGTTCTGGTTTTTCCACATCCTCACTAACACTTGGTATTAGCAATATTTTTAATTTTGGCCATTCTAGTGTGTGTATAGTGGTATCTCTGTGGTTTTAATTGGCATTTTGCTAATGACTAACAACTAATAATATTGAATTTTATTTCATGAGCTTATTGACTATACACTTTTTGTTGTGAATAGTCTATTCAAAGCTTTGCTCATTTTTAAAAATTGAGTTGCTTAATATGACTTAATATATATATTTATATATAATATAAATCTTTTTCAAATATATGTCTGGCAAATTTTTTTTTCAATCTATGGCTTGGCTTTTAATTTTCTTAATGGTGTTTTTTAAAGAGCCATAGTTTTGAATTTATATGAAAGAAATTTTTTAATTCTTTTTCTTTTAAGTTCAGTGCTTTTTGTGTTTTGTCTAAGAGATCTTTGCAAATATTGAGGTCATAAAGATATTTTAAGTTTTCTTCTAGAAGCTCTATAGTTTTTATATTTATATATTTTCGTATAGGTTTTATATTTAGTTGTATGATCCACCTTGAATTAATTTTTGTGTGTGGTTAAAGTGGAGAGTGGGTACTGATTTTTCCCCTACATGTATCCAGTTGTTCTACCATCATTTGTTTCAAAGATTTTCCTCTCTCCATTGAATTGTCTTGGCATCTTTGTCAAAAATGAATTGACCACATATGTGAATCAACCATATATTTCTGGACTCTATTCTGTTGCATGAATCTATTTATCTTTATTTATTGGCATCATTAGTTTTTAATAAGCCAGCTCATCTTGACTTGTAAATAGTGAAGCAAGTATTAAAAACAAATATACAAGCTGAGTCCTTTCACGTTTGGTTGCCAGTGGAACCATGCACAAGAGTCTGCATCAGGTTGGGCATTCTTTCTTGCATGCTGTCCAAATTTTTCCCTAGGCAGTAATCTCATTTTAAGTGATTCTATAATAAGCAAAAGCCAAATATATGCAGTTATAAATATTCAAGAATGATAATCCCGGTAAAAGAGATGTATTTTTCAAATCCATTTATACAGAATGTGCTTGAACTTAATTTTTATTCTTTCATTCAATAATTTATCAAATACTTACTGTATTCCAGACACTGTGCTAAATAAGAAGAGGGAAGGAGAAAATTTCTTGGTTCATTTCCTGCAAGGAAATTATTTGTAATCTCTACTCTATTGCCTACTTAACAATGTATTTTTCACAATTACAGAGAAAAAAAATCTATACTTGGTAGAATAAGCATCAGATTAAATGTCTTCATGCATTCCTACAAATTGACAGAAAATTATCAACACTCAAATGTTTACTAAGGAAAAACATTTCCTCAGGCTTTCCAAGTTTGCTATCACTCTCATAAAATATCTCATAAAATATCCGTTTCTTTTGAGCCTGAGAATGTAAACTATCATTTCTGTCGGTTGCATCTTCCAGCTTATTTTAGAATTTGAATCTTGTATATTATTTCCAAGAGAAATTTGTTTGAAAACTGGATCTTAATATGGTTGTTTCCTCTCTGTGTCTATATAATTTCAATATTATATGCAATACTATTTTAAATAATTTTCCCAAATTCTGTGGTGACTGAAACATTTTCAAGAATATATGTAATTCTAAAAATAAATTATAAATGGTAAAGAATGTGAACAATTCCAGAACACCCTTCCTGAGGGAGCTGTGTTGATTCCTGTGGAGTCTTAAAAACAGAAATATTTTCAAAATATCACAGCATACAAGTATGGCAATAGGCATGCACCATATTGGGGGCAGCAGGGAGGGAGAATGTAAAGGAGCAAGTTGTTAATAGGTTCAAAGTGATGATAAGCTGCAAATAGAATGTCCAGGGTGCGATGCAGGTGAGCATTTTTTTGAGAGAAGACTCTAAGAGGAGCCTGATGGAGTTCTATGTGAGCAAAACTTGGTAGACTTCTGGTTGCATTGAGTGCTATTTTGGATGCTTTACTGTTAAAATAAAATGGAGTCTCATTGGTATGCTCTACTTCAGAGGTTGTGAAACTTTTCCTACAAATGCCCAACTAGTAAATAATTTAGGCCTTGTAGGCCATATGTTCTGCAGTTATAGGGCAAAACCTGTCCAAGACAAATACATCAATGAATAAGCACGACTCTGTTCCAATAAAACCTTATTTACAAAAACATGTGGCTGGCTGGTCAGATTTGACCAGTGAGCCATAGTTTGTTGACCCTCATTGTAATCTTTGCGGAATTCTAATGAAATATCTTCCAAAATCATACTTTGACATTTTAAGGCCTGTGGCCTCGAAACTATTCTTCCTCTGGGTGCCCGGTACTTTGGGGCTTTCTTCAGAAGAGATATGACTTCCAAGGAGAATTGAACTTTGAAAGTCATCTGCAGTTAGGATGCATGTGGTCAAGAAATACAATACATGAAAAAGGCCAGCTCAGGAAAGCCAAACTCGTGGATTCTCCTTCAGGTTTCTACCTAGTCATACACACCAGTACATGTGTCTAGCTAGTCATACAGCCACCTCTGGGGTGCTGTCTAGCTCCATTCTCAGGGAATGCTCCATGGCATTGATGCTGGTTGCTCATTACTCAATAAACAAGCTTTACCAGGAGATACAGGGCTTGGTCCAGTAGATAGTCATTGGCTGGATTCTCATTTCTCTTGGATTCAGTAGAGTTACACTTCTAAAGCTAGAATACTAATTCCTTCAGTTAGTATTGTGAGGAGGATTGAAAAAGGGTTAAATGCTTAGGTATCCCTGAGACTTGAGAAAATACCACAACACTGGCTGTTAACCCTTCCTTTCCAAAAGTCCTTTTACATTTTTGTTCTTATATTTAAATAATGAGCTTGATTTCTAGTTAAAAATTTAATATAAAATCAAGTTAATCTCATTCAGCTCATTCAACATTCAATATATTTTGTTAGCACCTATGATGTGCCTGGTATTGGGCAAGGTGCTGGGGATATAATCATGTAGAGAGAAAACAAGTCCCTAATGTCTTGGAGTTTACATCCAAGTGAAGGAAACAAATACTATACATGTAAACAAACAAGACAAAAACATATTCAACAAGTGCTGGGAAGAAAATAAAGAGCGATGTCATTAACTGTGAGGTGGTGGTGGCAGTGGTACATGTGTGCGTGTGTGTGTACATGCATGTGTGCGTGTGTGCGTGCGTGTGTGCATGTGTTCACATGTGTCTCTGTGTGTAGGCATGTGTCTGCATGCACATGTGTGTCAGTGTGTGTATAAGTTTGAGAGAGAGAGAGAAATTACTTGAGAAAGAGTAGTCAAGAAAGGTCTCTTTGAGTTGATGATATTTAAACAGATACCTGAAGGACAAAATGAGAAAGCTATGCAAAGAACTGGGGGAAGATCCTAGGCTAGTTGCAAGAGCATGTGCAAAGCCACTTTCCAGTCCCTCCCCTAACCTACACCAGAGTGAAAATGATTTTAGCTTGTTTAGGGAACTAAAAGGTGAACATAGATGAAGCACAGTGCAGACAGG